GGCGCCCTCTCAGGCCAAATCCCACCCAGCCCCCAGCTCCTTCAGCCCCCTGCTCTGGCCATTTGCCCCCCACCCCACCCCACAGCACCATCGTCTGGGGTATCTGAAGCTGGGCTGCCACGTAGGTGCAAGGGGGTCTCTCTGGGACCACGAGAACAAGGCTTGGAAGGGGGGGGAGGAGGGAAGGAAGGAAGGAAGGAAGGAAGGAAGGAAGGGAAGGAAGGAAGGAGAAAAAGAGAGGAAGGAGGGAATGAGGAAAAGAAAGGAGAAAGAGGAAGGAAGGAAGGAAGGAAGGAAGGAAGGTAGGAAGGGAAGGAGAAAAAGAGAAGAAGGAAGGAGGGAAGGAGGAAAAGAAAGGAGAAAGAGGAAGGAATGAAAAAGAGGAAGGAAGGAAGGAAAGAGGAAGAGGAAGGAAGGAAAAAGAGAAAGGAAGGAAGGAAGGAAGGAAAGGAGGGAGGGAGGGAGGAGAAAGAGAGGAAGGAAGGAAGGAAGGAAGGAAGGAAGGAAGGAAGGAAGGGAGGGAGGGAGGGAGGGAGGAAGGGAGGGAGGAAGGGGGGCAGGAAGGGGGGACTTCCCCCAGGCTCACCTTCCTTCTTGCCCTGCAGGAGGCGGTAGACGAAGCTGGAGAACCAGGGGCTGTGTGTGGGGGGGCCCAGAGCGGCGAACCACATCTGCCAGTCCAGGCGGGGCTGGTGGGGGGCCACGACGGGGGGTGCTGTGCTGGCGTTGCCCGGTTTGTACATGAACTCAATCTCCTGGGGAAAGGGGGAAGAGACCCCCGGCTCTAGGCCATCCGATGGCTCCGCTCTCCGTCCCGCCCCGCCCATCCCGAGCCCCTCGGCTCTGCCAGCCGGCCCCTCCCTCGTGTTTGTGCCAGTCCGTAATCGAGGATAATTTATGCGGTCAATGAACAGCAAAATTTTAAAAGAAGAACCCACCCCAAACCAGCGTGAAGCAAATAAAATACAACATCACATTCACAGCTAGTAAAATAAACCACAGAACACAAAGAGTCACTGCTCTGGGGACCTTGGCGCTCTCTGAGCTTGGCCGTTTCCTTGCAGACGTTTCACGACCCAACTAGGTGACAGCATCAGTGCTGGGAGGGAGGGGGGGGTTGCTCTCGTTTGATACTAGTGGCTTATCCCATCAGTCCTGGTGGACGTGTTTTCTCCTGGGCGGCTCCATCATTAGGCTGCAATTTACTGTTTGATTGTTTGGCTGTTTCGATAGTTTCTTGACTGAGATATTTCAGCCTTACGTTTGCTTCTTTCAAACGGGGTGTAGACGTCATTCGTCTCCACGTGCCTGTGGATGGCCGGCCTGGATGCCAGGCTTCCGGGCATTCTCTCGTGTTTTTCGGCTTAGCTTGGTCAAGGAGGGTCAGCCCTGCCCAGCCCTCCCTCCCTCCCTCTGGCAGCACCCCGTAGCCACTCACCGTCCACGTTTCCTTGTCGTGGCTGCCTTCCAGCACCACCTCGGGCCGCCCACCGACGCCCGTCATTCGCCGGAAGAGCCCGTAGGAATTGGCCAGCTGGTAGTGATCCACAGCCCCAAAGACCTGATGGATGCCCGGCCACAGCTTCCCGTTGGACTCGAACTCAATGTACGTGAAGGGGACCTGCGGGCAGAGCAGAGGGCTGTGATTTGAACCCGGAACCTATCCTAGAAAGCAGCAGCAGCAGCAGCAGCGACATCCGGGCGCCCAGCTGGTCCGACCCAGATCTCAGCCTGTGTGCTTTGATCTGGCTTAGCTCCCCGCTATCAGAAGGCGAAGATGGGCGAGTGCTAGGATGGGAGACCACTAAGTAAAGCAAGGATAGGGAAATTAAAATGCAGGTAATCCTCAACTTATGACCTCAACGGAGCCCAAAGTTTCCATTGCTAGGTGAGGCATCAGCCTCTTGCCTCCCCCCCTCCAAAACAATCTGGGTCCTCATTTGACCGACCTCGGAAGGACGGAAGGCTGAGTCAACCTTGAGCCGGTCAGGATTGAACTCGTGGCAGTGGGCAGTGAGTCAACCTGCAATGCTGCATTTGAACCACTGGGTCACCAGGGAGGGTCCTTCCTTCCTTCCCTCTCTTCTCTTTCCTTCCTTCCTCCCTTCCTCTTCTCTCTCCTCCCTCCCTCCCTCTCATCCCTCTCCTTCCTTCCTTCCTTCCTTCCTCTCTTCTCCTCCCTTCCTCTTCTCCCCTTCCTCCCTCCCTCCCTCCCTCTCATCCCTCTTCTTCCTTCCTGCCTCCCTCTCTCTTCTCCTTCCTTCCTTCCTCTTCTCTCCTTCTTTCCTCTCTCCCTCTTCCTTCCTCCCTTCCTTCTTAGCAATAGCCCTTAGACTTATATACCGCTTCACAGTGCTTTACAGCTCTCTCTGGGCAGTTTACAAAGTCAGCCTCTTCCCACCCACCCCCCAACCATCTGGGTCCTTAATTGACCGACCTCGGAAGGACAGAAGGCTGAGTCGACCCTGAGCCGGTCAGGATCGAACTGCCAAACTGCAGGCAGAGCCAACCTGCCATGCTGCGTCCTAACCACTGGGCCACCATGGCTGCATGCTGCAAAACAAGGCGGGATCCTTAAATA